CGACCTCTTGACATCATCAAGCGCAGGGGGATATGCCAATTGACGTGTGGGGTTTGAGTCCAGGTTTTGATTCGTCATAAGAGCTTCCAGCACGTCGAGGCGCGCACGGGTTTCTCTCATCGCAAAGTCTTCGCCTTCTGGCTGTGCTCCGTTGGTGCTTGGAAGATTCTGCTTGCACGTACTCAGCAAGTGCCATAACAAGCGAGCCTCTTGACTAAAGACGCCGGTCATGTCGGTATCGGCGGTAGCCTTGTACTTGATGGTCTCGGTGAAGAAAGCGGCCTCTTCATGTAGGGAGCGGTCGTTAAAGACTCTGTTGAGAGCGTTGTTGTTCGTCGAGAACCAGTTGGTCTCAAGTACGAGGTCGAGCCCTTGGCAGTAATCGTTAATAAAGATGCGGGAGAACTCGTCGTCGATTTCACGGGGCACTGGCGAGGTCCGCTGAGGAACCTCGGGCGGGCTGTGGTTGCAGATGCCAAAGATGTCTTGGATATTCAACCGCTTGCCTGAATCTGCGTTAGGACTGTGATGGCGATATGGAGCAGGATACCAACCTTTCATGGGCTCTGGTGGAGGCGGGTGGTAGCTGGCTCCTGGAGGCCCTCTCATGTTGGGGTCCATGGGGTGCACACCGTTGTAATGTTGGGGTGGCTGTAGATTGGGATCGGCTTGCGCGAGTGCAGGGTCTATGGCGTGGAAGTTGCCTTGCTGGTGTTCGCCGCTCGTAGCAGGAGCGGCAGTCGCGTACCCCGCGGACGAGGCAGGCGCGTACCCTTGGGGTACCGGACTTTGGCTGTAGTTGGAGGAGGAAGGTGCGGGCGCGGGTGCACTTGTCGCGTGGGGTGTGGGCGCGGAGTTGGGAGCAGGTTGTATTTGGGCGGGACCGGATTGCTGCTTGAAAATCGGGTCGTAACCCAAGCACTCTCGTTTGCTCTTCTGGCAGTTCCGGCACATGGGGTGGGCTTCGTCGCACTGTCGGGGTGGTGGTTAGCGCATGAGCAGGTAAGTAGTGATGTTGGTGCGCGATGCAGAAAATTTGCCAGAAATCGGCGCAGCTGTATTTGCAGCCCGCAACGGCGATGTTGCGAGGCAAAGTGCTGCAGCCCACTGACTAACAGTGTTGCTGCACAGCCGGTCGCTTCTGACACGCGAGAGGTTGGATTAGAGGAGTTTGGGTTCCTCGCTCGGTTAAGCAAGCGACAAGCAATAGCTCCTCTGACATCGCGTCGCGTCTGCACCGCGTTCCATTGACGTATGCACTCACCTTTATTCTCCGTTTGCGACATGTCAGACAGCCAGTCTTGGTGCGACGCTTGATCTCCTTCTTATGGCGACCACCAGACAGCACTCGCTGGTCGCCCTGCGGCGGCAGCTGGTATCGCATGGCATTGAATTGCGGGCCCATGTTGCCCATCATGGGCGGGCCTTGCTGCGCATGCGCTGGGTGCGGATAGTACTGCGGCATACCGTGCTGCGGCGGTGGGAGCGGAGAGCCCATGGGCTGGGGCGGCTGCTGAGGTTGCGCCTGGGGCTGCTGGCCGTCCTGCAGACGTATTGGCGGCAGATTGAGGGGCGGCAGCGACATGTTGGAGCCCTGGGGAGAGCTGCGGTAGCCATCGTTGCTCTGCTGGCCTTGGGGCGGCGGGTAGGTATACGTGGGCTGCATCGAGGGCGACGGGTACGAGTGCGGTGAGGGATAGGCGACGGCCTGCTGCTGGCGCGACTGCATGTTAGGATCGGCCATGCTCTGGTGGGAAAAGTGCGAAGGGGCCGGCGAGTAGGGCGCCTGGGAGATGTGGGTGGAAAAGTCGTGCGACATGGGCTAGCAATGGAGTCTGCCACCGGGGCGCTCTTCAGTTCTTGGGGATGTCTTGAAGAGCACGGCGGCGCTAGAAAGCTTGAGGCGGATGGGAAGAGGGACGGCAAGCCTGGCAAGGAACTGGGATTAGCTGAGTTGGCGAAGGCGTTATGACCCGCGGAACAGGGGCCTGGCCTCGCTCGGTTCGACGCCGCCGCGCTGCACGTAGTTGTGCGTGCACTACATAGATTGGGATAACAAATACGTGAACGACGCAAAGACTAACAAAGTCCAGGGAATGAAAGTGAGAAGGGCTAAACTATGATAGATGGAAAGGATGAGGAAGGTGAGGAAGATGAAGACCTGGCATGCCAGCTGCCGCTCCCAGCAATGCATCGCGCGCGATATCCCTCACTCATCTCGTCCGTCTAGGAGGCAGCGAGTGGACTCAGTGGAGGGTGGGCTGCAGCTGGCTAGCCGCCTTTAGCAGGTAATGAGGGCGCATGTGGCAGTGCCATGAAGGAATCAACCGACTTTACTTACAAGCTGCCTACAAGCGAGTCTCGCTTGAGCGGAAGGTAGCGAACAGGGTACTGCTGTCCGACGGGCTAGCGACGCGCGACGATGAGCTGGCCGAGGAGAGCTTGGGCAGAGGAACTTCTAGCGACGAGAGGGCGGCAGGCCGATGCAGCCAGAGCAATCGGGCATTTCTTCAGCAAAAGGCTAAAGGCGCAGACCGCTCCCCAGCGCAAAAAGAACTTCAGCATGGCAGGGCCGCTAGCCTGCTTCGGGCCAATCACGTGCCGCTCTGCGCTGCGCACTGGGGCCCGCCACACTGTTCTTCCTGCAATCAGCGTCGTCCCGTCCGCTGCTGCACCTCTCTATTGCCCATTACCCAAGTACCTTACTGAGCCGAGCCTCGTGCGGCGTGCAGCGACATTCTGACCCGCTTAGACACACCATGCAGCCGCCCATACCACCCACACTGCACCGTTTGCGTTGCTCAACCCTCATCCGACGGACTGGCAGAGGACTGGCAGAATTTGATTAAGGCTGATTGCGCAGTACCTGGGTCCCGGTCCAGCCGGCGCGAGCGGCATCTCTTCGAGAACACCTCCCTCTTGCACCCTCTGCACCCTCACTGCTCGCTTAGCTATCGGTGGCTTGCTCCTGCATCGTCACGACGAACCATTCTGTGCCTGCTTGCACATCTCTGATGCCGCGTATTCTTAGCCTGCCCTTATTTCACTGCCCATTTCACTGCGCAATCCTTTGCTCCCACTGCGGGTGACGTATGTAGCTCCCGATGTGACAATCGTGCAATGGTGCGCTGTCCAACGATCAAGCACACGAGCATTCGATCTCCAGACTGCGTCTTACGGGCCGGTTTCCCTTCCAGGGTGGCCAGCGGCGCGCCTCGTCCTATCTAAAGCGCGCGCTGACATCAACTTCCGCCTGTCCAATTCAATCTCCCTGCCTATTTACCCGCAATGGGCATATCGCAAGGGCGGCTTCCATTGCCAGCCACAACGCCGTATCTGAAGTATCTGCGGGTAAATAAACGCATATCGGGTTAAGCCATTGCCTGCTACAGCTGAGTGTGACCAACCTGTAGGAGGTGCATCACCGGCAAGACTTGTCCTTCCGTCTGGGTAGCACTAGGAGGCCGCCAACACGTGTCGAGATATCTACTGGACACCTCACCATTGTCGCCGAACAACCTTCGCGCCAAACAAGCTGGTTGGACTTTGCGATGCGACATGCGATGCGACAGGCGATACTGCATTGCGAATCCCTTGTCCAATGTTGCACAAGCAAAGACCCTGGTCCTAGGGCTGACAAGGTGCATCTAACAGGCCGCTACCAGCGCGCGCGCAGGGAAGTCTGCACTCGGTGCGACCAAGAACTCAGCGCCAGAGAAGCCTGTGGAACACTGCTAATTGTCGTTCGTTCGCAAAGTGTCTTTCGCGGGCGCCCGCTGAGACATGGTAAGATCTCGTCTATCGCAGTGCACAGAAAAAGCCAGGTCAGGGATACCCCCGCACACGAAAGCATCGAACGCTTCTCGAACAAAGTTGAACGCCAACCGAGCGAGCTTTGCGCATCATCCTTCCGCCCCGCTCTCGCCTACAGACCGCCTGAAGCGACAGGTGTCTTGATCATCGCTGCAATACGAGATGCATCGGGCTTTGCAAGGGATGGATTTCTCCCTTGCTCATGTGAATCTCGCACAATAACATTTTGTCTTGTTATGCCTGTTCTCACAACAATGGCTGAATCGTGCGGTGGCCACTTCTTACCCAAAGCTGCAGACCCTGAATAAGTTCACGCCATTGAGTTCACACTAAACATTGCTGTCGCGAGCCGACTCGGCTTTACCCTGGAGTATCCCAGAATCAAGAGTAGGGATAGTCAGCAGCACAGACGTCGGCCAAGCGATAGCCACGGTGCAGGAATCGGCGCGTTGCTCGTTCATTCCATAATCATGGTCGCGCACACATGACCACCTCGACACCAACTCCAAGTTGTGTCGACCTGAGTCATCTCGAACACAGAAATTTCCGTAGCTCAAGGACGCTGGAAATTTCCGATACTTCTGCGGTTCATGAATATCATTCTGATCTGCCAGTACTACACGTTCACTAGAACCAGGCAACAGCTTTTCTGAGTGCGTTAGAGCCACATTGTAAGTATGGCGATTCCACACGCGGCGACGATATGATGGGCAACCACAGTTTGAACATGCAATGGAAACCCATGGTTTGTGGTGCATCCAAAGAGTCATGGAATTAAGGGTCGTCGTGCATGCGAGGGCGCTGGAAGGCAAGCTTAGCGTATGGAAAGGGCTGATGCTATCATCGCAAGAGTTGGGAACCAAGGTAGGTGAACACAAACTACTGTGTCTACTTCGATTTTGTAGGAACCTCGTAAGTTCTGACTGGTACGTATCTCTCCAATATGAAATTGTTGATTCGCCCTTTTTTCGTGGTACTTTGGTTGTCGTGGCCTCCACCTTCAGGCTGCCATTTCGGTACCGTGGGACGCACCACAGCAGGATTATACAAAATAAGGGAACATCCTCTATCCTCTACTTTCTCATATCGTCGCTCAGTCTTCATCTTGTGCACACTGACTCCTGACTACCACTTTGTCCAACCGGCTCTTTCAGCTCATCTAACCCCCACACAAACCAACCGTCAAAATGTCCACAACACTAGACCAACAAAAAGAGGCCGCATACACCCTACTCTCCGGTATGCTCACAAGCGTTCTACAAAAAGAGTGGAAAATAACAGACCGCCATTCGGCACAGTCGTCCGCCCTCCTCGACATACTACTCCTCCCCAAGCCAGCCCCAGCCCCAACCCCAGCTCCCATCGCCATCCCCATCCCACTCAAGAAACAAAGCATCTTCCGCCTAGGCAACCGCACATTCGACCTCGGCCCCGAACACGACTCCTCCGCCAGTTCCTCCGACGATGATGGTGACGCTCCGATCCGGAATGCGCGTCAGCTTAAGAGCGAGATGCGTAGGGTTAATGCGATTCAGAGGCGTGCGAAGAGGAGGGCGGAGAGGGGGAGGAGGAGGATTGAGATGCATATTGGGAAGATGGAGGGGGTGGTGGAGTTTGAGACGGAAACGAAGACTTTGGAGACTACGAAGAGGGGAGTGGAGACACCGGTGAGGATGTTGAAGGAGCTGGAGGACTACAATAGCCCTGCGAGGGGAAGTCTGTTTAGCGATAAGCCCATGTCGCCGCGAAGTGCTGGGTTCAGTTCGACGGCTAGCGAGGTCAACCGCGAGGTTGAGGGATACGATAGCGTTGACAGTCCCATGTCAGAACCCGTACAGGCACCCAGGCGACTACAGCGCGCGGGGCCTCACATCAAGTATGTCAAGCCGGCATCCAGCCAGCGATGCGGCCCTGCTCAAAAGGATTACCTAGGCCGACCACAACGCCACTGCAGCGACTGCGACCGTACGCTACTGGCCTCCCACTGGACATGCCACGTCAAAGGCCGAATGCATCAGGACAATGCAGCTCGGGACAAGCAATCCCCTCCGGTGCAGGGCACCAAGACTAGACAAGAGTATATGCGCGGCTTGAAGCAGTATTGCGTGTACTGTGACCGTCAGGTCCATTCGAGGGGCTGGGGCGGCCATTTGAAGGCGCGGGCGCATTGGGAGAATGTGGCCAAGGCGAAAGAGGAGGAAGAGAGTGTTCGGCTTCACGCCCCGACACCGGAGTCCGTTGTGCTGTCCGTGGAAGAGGAAGAGCAGAAAGAAGAAGAGGAGGAGGAGTATGAAGATGATGGCTTTGGTGAGGAGGGATACGAATATGGTCACTATTGCGATGACTGCGAGGTCACGTTCGCTGGTGCGAACTGGGCGCGGCATTTGAATTCGGCAGGCCATGTATTTAACGTTTTGCGGAACTCTCCGGGGGATGAGAGTATGGCTTCTGATGATGAGGAGGAGGAGGAAGAACAAGAGGAGGAAAGCATGGCAGACTATGATTCTGCCACTGATGGGGAGAGCATCATGTATGATGATGCGACGGATGAGGATTCTGAGGCGTCGTCGCCCTCGCCATCATCTTCACCCTCGCTCTTGCCCTCGCCCTCGCCCGTATCCAATGAGGGAATCACATTCCCGCACGACGGGACACCAGTCGCCGACCTCGCTTCGCCCCCCTCCCTCACATCTTCGCCCACCTCTCCCGCTTCCTCTGCCTGTGCTGAGTTTCGTTCAGAACAGGACTTCTACTGCGAGACCTGCAATGTCACTATCTTGTCTGCGGATCCCTGGGAGATTGAAGAGCATGTGGCTGATCACGCATATGCAGCCTGCGAGAAGGAAGAGGTGGTGGGGATGGATTGGTTGAGTCAGCTTAGGGAGGCTGCTGGGTTGGTGAAAGATGTGGAGGATACGGTGGAGATGGATGTGGTAGAGAAAGTGGAGCAAGGTGGCATGGAATGTGAATACAATGGGTGGGCATGGAGAATAGGGACGGATGGTAAGGTGCTTGGGAGTATACGGCGTAGTCCGTCTTGTTAGACGTCGAGCGTGGATTGCTATGTATCCGCCATGATACCTCGTAAATTTGTGTAACTGGCGGAGAAGCGTCGATGTAGTCTACTAAGATATTTTCAACATCGTATTTGCACCATGATACAAACACAGTTTGATGAGCATAATCATATTGAATTCCTACTATCGGGCTATCCCTGCAACGTCCCAACGTATAGGTATCGAGAGTTATCCCACAATGAAACGCCGCCCAATGCACTCGCACTCACTGCAATGCCACGAAAACGCCATATATGCTGACCAGATACCATATCACCCCCACAACCATAACAACCAAGACGACCAACTAAGTATCCGTCTTAGGCTTCTTGTTCGGCAGCGCCGGCACCTTGAAACCGCCAGCATCAACCTTCGAGCTACCGTTGAGCTGCGTGAACGAACCACCCTTGAACCACCTATCCTCGTCTGCCTTTCTTTTACGGTTGGCTTCCTCACGCGCCTTGGGATCAACCAACTCGAGGCCTTGGACAGGTGTGAACGCGATGGAGTTTGTTCCCGCACCACCAAGACCCACACCACCGGTTCGTAGGCCCTGGGCACGTAGACTGGTCGCCGTACCGCTTCCGCCAAAGCCTTTGAGAGACGAAGCTGCACCAAGCGTGGTGTCGGTGCCCCAGCCGGGGTTCTTCTTGCTGAGTTTGGCGCGCGTCTTGGGGTCGATTTGTTGCGCGCGGAGTCGTCCGGTGTCTGTGGCTCCGATCATGCCCATGCCTGCTACGGAGTCACCGTAGCCGACTTCCTTCTCTTCCTTGCCGAAAGTCATCCGGTTCTGGGCCTTGCGGATTTCGGTCATGGCTGTTGCTTCCTTGGCCTTGCGGGCTCTCCTTCCACCTCTCTTGCGGGACGGCTTCTCATCGGGTACGGGAAGGGCCCTTCCTCCAGCTTTTTGATTCGCCGGCATTTCGACCAGCTTGTCTAGACGCCGCTCGCATTCTTTCCTCAGGTCCATACCAATGTCGGCAGTGCCGGAGTTGGAATGGGCGTCTACACGTGCGGCGAGGATGACCTTAGCAGCCACAATGCGTAGCGCCTGCTTCCTGAGGTCTGGCCTTTGGTTCTGGATAATGTCGCTGTGGTACAGGTAACCCTCGTGCCTCAGACCCATGTTCGAAAGTCCGACGGTAGCCCCGGAGACTTTAGTCGAACCTAGAGGCGCGATGTTGCAAGCGGGAGTCTTAGCTAGGTTCGCGATACCGCCAGAGTATGAGATGAGATGGGCTGCGGTCAAACTACCAATGAGCGCGGTAAGGTTAGGCGCGAACAGCTCAGTTCGGGATTCGACGAAACCCAGAATCTTGGACTTGGCGGCGTGTAGCTCGAGCAGCAGATGGCATGCGTTTGACACCAGGTCCAGCTCAGATTGTTCAAGAAGTCTCCCTTCCACACGTGTGGCTTCAATCTCGACAATCATGACCTGGGCAGGCTCCATTCCTTCGATTTGCCTCAGCTTGGGGCTGATATCTTTGATGCTTGACAAAGGTCCGCCGCCGATGACCAAACATGCTTTGGCGTAGACGACAGGGTTCTTGATCAGGTCCTCCAAATGGGGGAAGAAGGCCGAATAGTGGTCGCGAATGAACTTGTGGACGCTAGCAGTCTCGCCATCGATCTGTGTGGAGAACTCGTTGGCTTCAGTCAGGAGTTGATACTCGGGAGATTCCTCAAACGATTCGCCCTCGACTATGTCCATCTGGTCCTTGGCCTCTTCGATGCGCTTGAGGACGGGGTCCAGGTTCGTCTTGAGCTGTTGCGCGGATCGAATGTCGGCTGGCCCCTTGTTTTCCTTGTCTTTGTCCTGCTGCTTCTCGCGATATTGTGCCTCCTCGTCTACCATCTCATCGTCGTCGCCAGAACCCTCGGCGAAGTCATTCTCCAAATCCTGGACATCCTCATCACCACTGTCTGCGAAGTCCGCCAGGAGCTCTTGCTCGAGAGTCGCCATGGCAGAATGTAGGTTGGGGGTATTCGAGGTGTGCGAGGATGAGCGTCGCTACCAGACAGGAGCAGTCGAAGAAGTCGCGACGGCGGCCAGAGGTTACCCTCCTAGTGGATATCGGTTGAGCGCTGAGTTCGGGATCGTTGGTATACTACGTACCTGTTGCCTGGGATGGCCGCCGGTCGAGTTGTGAATGCGCGCGGGAGAGTGTCGTGGGGAGAGAGAAGTTGCGACGGCAGTGACGTGAAAGTGCTAATTGCTTGGCGTGCAGCGGATAAAAGTTGCGCTAAGGCAGTCGCGTTCTCACGTTACAGAATAATCTTGTCGCATCGCAGAACGACGACCTACATACGACAATTGCTATCGCCAAGCTATTGTACCGTAGTCGCACTGCGTAGGCATCCGCGATCACGTGTTCGGCGGTTGGAGCGATCCGGACCAACCTTTGGAGCTCTGTTACTCCGACACGACCCAGGCGCGACAGCCTTCACGACCGACGTGCGCCTCGCCCTCTCTCACCATCACGCGCATACCGTTACATCCCATATCACGCCCTTGATCATCATATTCGAACGCCAACATGGAGGCCTCACGAGGACCCCCGCGGGTCAAGAACAAGGCCGCGGCGGCTGTCCAGATCTCTGCCGAGCAATTGCTGAGAGAAGCCGTCGACCGTCAAGATGAGAAGCTCAAGGCGCCAACGCAGCGCTTCGCCGACATCGAGGAGCTGCATGAGTTCCAGGGGAGGAAGAGGAAGGAGTTTGAGGACTATGTGCGGCGGAACCGTATCAACATGAACAACTGGATGCGCTATGCTTCCTGGGAGCTGGAGCAGAAGGAATTTCGACGTGCCCGAAGCATCTTTGAACGAGCTCTCGATGTCGACTCAACCTCCGTCCCGTTATGGCTGCGATACATTGAGAGTGAGATGAAGCACCGCAACGTCCAGCATGCCCGTAACCTTCTCGACCGCGCCGTGACCATTCTTCCGCGAGTCGACAAGCTATGGTACAAGTATGTCTACATGGAGGAGACGCTCGGCAACATCGACGGTGCCCGCTCCGTCTTCGAACGCTGGATGCAGTGGGAGCCTGAGGAGGCGGCATGGAGCTCATACATCAAGTTGGAGAAGAGACACGGCGAATTTGAGAGATGCCGGGCAATCTTTGAGCGCTTCACCGTTGTTCATCCGGAACCCAAGAACTGGATCAAATGGGCCAAGTTTGAGGAGGAGAACGGTACCAGCGACCTCGTGCGCGATGTCTACGGTACCGCTGTCACAACACTGGGAGACGAGTTTATGGATGAGAAGCTATTCATGGCATACGCGAAGTTCGAGGCAAGACTGAAAGAGCTGGAACGTGCCCGAGCTATCTACAAGTTCGCCCTTGATCGTATGCCACGATCGAAATCGGTCAACCTACACAAAGCCTTCACAACCTTCGAGAAACAATACGGAGACCGAGACGGTATTGAAGACGTAATTCTGTCGAAACGACGTGTACACTACGAGGAGCAAATCAAGGAGAACCCCAAGAACTACGACAGCTGGATCGATTTTGCCCGACTGGAAGAGACGTCTGGCAATCCCGACCGTGTTCGAGACATATACGAGCGAGCGATCGCCCAGATACCACCCACACAGGAGAAGCGCCACTGGAGACGGTACATATATCTTTGGCTTTTCTACGCAGTCTGGGAGGAGACAGTTTCGCACGACATCGAACGAACCCGTCAAATCTACCAAGAGTGTATACGTTTGCTGCCACACAAGCGCTTCACATTCGCCAAAGTATGGCTGGCTTTTGCTCATTTCCTTGTGCGACAAGGAGAGCTCACCGCTGCACGCAAGCTGCTGGGTCAAAGTTTGGGCATGTGTCCAAAGGACAAGCTCTTCAAGGGCTACATCGAACTGGAGATGAAGCTCTTCGAGTTCAACCGCTGTCGGCAGCTTTACACCAAGTACATTGAGTGGAACGGCTCAAACTGCCACACATGGATCAACTTCGCTAACCTAGAGCGTGGTCTCGACGACCTTGACCGTGCGCGTAGCATCTTTGAAATCGCTGTTGACACACAAGAAATGGACATGCCGGAAGTTCTATGGAAAGCATACATCGACTTCGAAGAAGAAGAAGGCGAATACGGCCGCACACGCGCACTCTACGAGCGCCTCCTCGAAAAGACCGACCACGTCAAAGTCTGGCTCTCCTACGCCCAATTCGAACTCGGCGTCCCCGACGAAACCACCCCCGAAGACGACGAAACAATCAGCGAGCTCGCCAAATCCCGCGCTCGCGAAGTCTTCACCCGCGCGCACACCCGACTCAAGGAGAAGGACCTTAAGGAAGACCGCGTGGCGCTTCTCTCTGCGTGGAAAGCGTTCGAAGATGTTCATGGAACTGCAGAGGACAAGGACAAGATCGAGAAACAGATGCCCCGCAAGGTCAAGAAGAGGAGGAAGTTGGACGACGACAGCTTCGAGGAGTATGTCGATTATGTTTTCCCGGCCGACGACGAGAGTGCGGCGAAGTTGGCGAAGCTTATGGCGAATGCGCAGAGGTGGAAGATGGCGCAGGCTGCGAAGGCGGCTGCGGAAGGGAATGGGGATGCTGCGGATGGGGGTGGGGAGTAGGAGTTTTTGGGGTGTTTCGGAGGTGGGGTGTATGTAACATAAGAGGAATTAGCATATTTGGTTCGGTAGCAGCCGGCAGTCTGCCATGCAATACGACTTCTAGGCCGTGGATAACAGTACATGCACTTTATCAAACATTCCGGCTGTTGTCGCGCAGGGTTTGGTTCTTAGCGTAGGAGTATGAAAGAGCCAGAGCGAGGAGCAGACATTCGAGAGTAAAGGGTCTATCGCAGAATATATATGGGCCGAGGCGCTAACATACATCCCACCTTGACGACCTGTTTCCTTGCTATCCATGACTGCCAGCAAAGAGTGTCAATGTATCACTCCTTCCACCAGTCAGTGCTGATGTCGTACTTCTTCAGCTTCTTTGCCTCATCTGTCTTCTCTGCTACCTGTGAGCGAGCGCTTCTCTCACATCATAGCACTTCTCTACTTACCCATAGTAGCCATAGTCTCGACCATCTGGACACGCAGCTTCTCGATGAGATTGTTGTAGCTTTTCTCGAGAAGATACCTCGTCGGGAAGACGGGATGGGAATGAGGTCCTGTGACGATGCGCTCCGACTTTAGGACTGGAATCCAGTCGTTGGAAACAGCCTTTCCAGTCTTCCAATCAGCGGCGTTCGGCTGCGGGTAGACGATGACCCATGAGACAACGCCGTCGCCTGTGGTGTCACTGCTGTAGATGACATCGAAAATGGATCCGTGGGGATACTTGGGGCCGTAGATAGCGCGGGCCTGGGCTTTGAGATATATTAGCTGGATGAACAAGCTGTCGTCGATTTCGTTCGGACGTACATATGATGCGCGTAACAAGCGCCTCTTCGTGAATGACTTGACTGTTGTCTCCCATCTTCGCTGACGTGGACAGGTGTTTGGGAATTATTGTAAGTGAGAGGGAGTAGACAGCAGAGAGCGGATTCGGTCATGACTATTTTGGGTGCCAAGACGCCAGGCCCGATTCTTTGCTTGTATTCACTTGAGTCAAGCTGTTTTACATGTGTCAGGCTGGTGTTCCTTCTCCTAGCTTCCATGGCCGCTTCCAGCTAACCCGATACATCCTTCCCTATGTAGTCGGGACCAAGAGGTCCCGAAGCCAGTCCAGTGTTGGCGAATCCATCGCGAATTACTTCTCAGTCTTCTTCTTGTACGCCTCAACTAAACCTAGTCAGTGGATGGATGCGATAGTGCCGCAAAATTCTTCACTTACCCATGACCTCCCTCATTTCTTTCCGCAGGCCGGCAAGGAGCTTTTCATAAGCTTGGATCATGGATATCCCAGAACTCGATGTCATAACTGGAGACCAAACGGGGGCGGCGTTTTCGACTGTCTTGAAGAGTGGCCTTGGAGGGAAGACGACGACATAGGCGGTGAATTGATTCTTGTCTCCCGGAGTATCACTACTGACGACGTCGAATTTTGAGCCTCCCGGGTATTTCTCACCGTGAATCACGCGGATATGGGCTGTGGAGCGAATTAGTCATTCGAGAAGGATTGATACCCGTCTAGAAACGTACAGAGGATGGTGGCTTTGAGCGCCTCTTCTTCCACTGCTACGGAGCTCATGTTTGCTGTTGCCCAATGCGGAGTTCGAACTTGGGCATGGGGTTTGAAGTTGAGTGGGAAAGTGTATGGCTGCAGGAATATGAGAGTGGCGAGGCGAAGACAAAATGATTTATAGGAAAACACTTGTATGCCAAGACACATTGTATTCCCTTAGCTCTACCTAGGTAGTGACTTGATCGCAAACAGCAAATGCAGGACCAACCATATGTAGAGCTATTTCTCGGCATGGACGCACCCGCCTGATAGCCACGTTACCAGACATTTCCAAGATCTCAATCCCCGAACAGGCCTGGAGCCTACAATGAAGTTAAGCCACCTACTTTGCATGTTTCCTAGGTTGACGTGCCTGGTAGCCATGATCCCAAGCCGCCGAGTCAATGTAAATTACTTCCTGTCGCTGGCCTTGCACCTTTGCTACTCTACTTGCTGTTAGTCTCTAGTCCTTGTATCTTCACATTTTCCTCTCCTTACCTAGGTACTCAACGCAGCGGCTATCTTGGAACGCAGATGCTGGAGCAGGTTGTGGTAGGTTTCTTCCACTCGACTGAGTTTTTGGGAGAACAGGACTACCTTGTGCTCGGCGGATACGACTTCGCCAGCTGAGTACGGCTTTGTTTTGGGGTAAACGACGACATGGGACACAGTGCTCAGATACTCGCAGCTGGTGACAACGTCGAACACGGAGCCGGCGGGGTACTTGGGGCCGTAGATGACGCGAGCGTGGGCTTTGTGTTACGTTAGTTTTATAAACAGAAGTAACAACGTTAGTACATACAGATGATGGTGGCTTTGAGCGCTTCTTCCTCTTGTGCTTGGCCCATCGTTGCTGTTGATACGTGGGATGTCGTTAAGTGTAGTATGGAGAAAGTAGAGAGCAGATAGCAGAGCGAAAGCTTTGTTGAAATACCTGTGTGCCGAGACGCAGTTTTACAGTCTTACTCTCACCTTCACTTTTGGTCCTACCCGATTCGCATTTGCCAAGGACTAATGACGTCTTCGCAAACAGAGAGAGCAAGCGCAGAGTTACGGCCTTAGAGACGAAGGGCCCGTACTGATATGTACAACCTGTCTGTTTTTCCCTCAAACACTCTCACACTCCAACACGAGACTCAAAACCCTTCGCTCAAACAGCCAAGATGTCGTCCACTTGCGAGAAAACCAGCGAGCATCAATCTGAAGAGACGCTCAAAGCGACCATACTGTGTGAGTGTCTTCGAATCGCAGCCGTTTGACATGTCTAACATTCCGATAGCCCACGCTCGCGCAGTCTTTGGTGAACATTGGCCCAAAGGCTGCGAATTCGACGTCATCATTAGTGATATTTGGATGCACGGTGCCCCATCACTCTTCTCGGCCTGGGTCATCGTCTATCCTGATGCCGGAGAATCCAATTGGGTGCCTATTCTAGACACCTTCGGCACCATCAGCGTGAGCTTGGCGTACGATGATCTGATTCGGGAGTTGCGCAGGAGGGTCGCTGATGTCATGGGTCAGTGAATGAACAAGAATTCTAACACACAAGAGTAGCTCACTGACCATACTTAGTCAAGAAGTCCAAGAAGCACATGCCGGAATAGGCCTACTCAGAAATTTTCCTACGGAATACCTGTCGTGCCGTTCCGGCTGCTCATCCGTAACTATGTACAGGTTAACAAGGGGGTGGGAGATCTTGTGGCTGCTATTAGATGTTCGGCTGCGAGCGGCATATAGGTTGAGTCTTGCAAGAGCACTTTGGCCAGATGAGGGTAGTGGTGTCGCATTGCTGCGCACTTGTGGTTGCCAAATGCGAACTATCCGAGTACCGGCAAAGAAAGTGGGCTTGGGATCGCGTCTTGTGCAGTACCATGGTACCTAGATAGACAAGGAACTTTTCGCACAACAGCTCCACATCCCAAACTCCTACTCCAACAACACATCACTACCCACGCAACTAGTTATTCAGAACATATGATGTTGGAAACGAAATTCAGGGCCTGGGCCAATCCCGACTCGGCTATACGGGAGAAAGAGATAAAGGAACAGATCCTGTGTACGTCGCTACTACTTCCCATTCACACCCTAATATTCAATAACTTACGATCAAATCGCAGCACAAGGTCGTTCCCTATATTCTCAGCGTTTCCAATATGGTTCAGGCTTCGACATCGTTCATAGCAGGGCCGACACTTCGGAAGGCCCTGATTACACAACTCACCTTATCGTTTATGCCCCGTTGGGCACGTATCCGGAAAGGGACTGGGAAATTGTTCTTTCGGTCGATAACAGTACGAGCATTTTGGGCGGTTTGGACACTCTCATGGTAGAACTTACAAAGCGGCTGGGTGACAAGATTGGTAAGCACGGTGGCCGAAGACGAAAAGCGCAAGAACTGACTGAGCGGTCCTGTTACAGAGCAGAAGAGAAAGGGTCGTGTTCAAGTACCTGCGCAGGTTCGGGAGCGTCGTGAGGACAGAGAGACTAGAGAGGCTGAGAACGCGCGAAGACTTCTCTGATCCATTCGATGGTGGAATCTTTATTCGTTAACGATGGGTACGTGGTCGCTAGCGGTACCGCGCCTCTACCCACATGCGCAGTATCAACTCCATACCAGACACTTGCGAGTCTGGAGGGTGTGGCAAAGAAGATGGAGATGGAACTTTTGCCACTACACATGCAACGGCACACGCAACGGCCATAGCCCGATTGTCAGCCTCACTTCAGCTACTATAGCAATGCAAACATCGGCGAAAAACTGCCATTTCATAATTCGTGCCAGAACCCGAGCGCCGAAGTTCCGTTTGAGGAGTCCTTGCTATTCTCGCTGCGGATTAGTCACGTAGTTCAGGTCATAAGCGAGGAGGTGAAGGTGAGTTGCACTCTCCGCAGCTAATAAGAAATCTTCAACACGACAACTACAATCCTTCTACCCCCCACTTTCCAAACCACAACAACCCCACGTCACCCCCAAGCTCAGCAGTCATTACCACCATGGCCATGTCCAAGTACGAAACCATCATCTGGGAAGATAAGATGAAAGAGCGGATCATGTGTAAGCAATCACGATTACAATGCTCCACCTCTCAGACTAACATTTGACTATCTTAAAGCTCTTGCTCGCGCGAGATACACCAGCGATTTCGAAAGTGGTTCGGTCTTCGACATCATTCACACTACTGTCAAACACGGCAACAGCACTTCTTACGATACCCACCTTATCGTCTACGAGTCGCCAAGCACCAACGAGGTCTTCCAGTTCCTCATCACTATGCAGTGCAACTCTTTTGCCCAGGGACTGGAAGCTCTCATGAGTAGGATCCAAGCGCAGTTGGGTCGTAGCATCAGTAGGTTGCTTAGCCAACAAGCCCACATCCGTGTAGGACCTGACTGACTTTTCCACAGAGAAGGCAAGGGAAGACAAGTTGCGGGATGAATCTGAGTACGGAAACTATGGCTACGATTCGGACGGAGATCGCTACAAGTACTACCCAGAGGTCGCAGCTGAAAGGACACGATGTCTCACGATGAAGCTTGCCTTGACCAGCAATTCGGAGGTTGCTCGTGGATAGCGGAACTGATTTTGCTCGTAGCGAAGACGCCGAATCAAGCGTTGGCGAGTCGTAAGAGAGTAGTTGGGAAGATACAACGAGCATCCCCCACTATCCACATGCAAAAAAGTAGACCTGTATGCGCCACTGCCTTGATAGATAGCAATGCAACCCATCAATCAACACATGCCATCGCGCAGACTACGTCGCTTCCTACACTCCTACTCTTAACATACTGAGCCACATGTCAGCGTCCGCCTGGAAAAGGACTGAAAATTCGCTCAGCGGTTGTTTGCTGTCTCCGTTTTGGGCTAGCTCATAACAAGAGCGGTAGGTGAGGGTGAGTCGCGCTTTCCAGTTGACAAGAAACTTTTCGCGCAGCGACGAGCTCCAACTCTTCTACTACTCACTTCTGCAACATTTCAAGCCTAAAGTCTAGTTGCCGGGCAAAGGCAGCACCGCAAGCACCATGGCGATGTCCAAATACGAGAACATCATCTGGGAGGAGAAGATCAAAGAGCAGATCTTGTGTACGCGCCCTATTCTTACTCGTTCGTACATGTCAAAGCTAACTCAATCAGCTCACGCCCGTATCTTGTACTCTCAGAAGTTAAACCCAAACTCCATACTCGATGTCGTCAATACCACTTCCAAGCTGCCCGGGTACTCGTTCGTAGCCTACACATCCCACGTTGTCGACATAGACGCACCAAAAAACACTGGGTGGAGAGTTCTATTGTCGAGTCGGGAGTGCATGTCTCTTGGAGAATGCCTAGAGGAGACGCTACAGACTCTGCAAGACCTTCTGCGACCTCGCTTGCGTAAGTCCTTATACACATAGTTCCAGAGAAGTCGAGGGTGTAGTGCTGACACTATGTGCTTACAGAGCCCTTTGCACGGCCGGCGTACACGGAGAACAACAACCTGGCTAGGCGTTCTATCAAACAGCAACGACGCGTAGAGTCAAATAGGTCGGCAGATGCGTTCCTAGCTGCTCTTGCAGATGAAGTTCAGGAAAATTCAGCCAGTAAGAAGCGGAGGCGATACTAGGCCACGCGTCACTTCGTCTCGTGTATGAGCATTTCATGATGGACTGGGTCTCTTCCGGGTTATGTCCTACGCTGAACAACGCTGCTGGAAGGAACATGGAAGGCAACCGCAGGTCAACAGATTGAGTGTAACAAGCCTGCGTTCCCAGTACTTATCCAAGAACTGGTCATCAACACTGCTTGAGATACTACATACCCGTCATGCACATCAAATGAGAACAGCGTGCCATCACACCTCCCTCCCATCTCACACACTACAGCAAATCATCCTCATCAACGCTTTCCCCCCTCCTCCCCGCCAGCCAAACCCTCCCACTCTCATACGCACCCAGATATAGTCCCGCCCCGATGAATGTCCAAACACCCCTCAACGCACCACCTCTCCACAATCCCTTAAACCCCTTCTCCTCTACAATCTCCTTGCCCACAGCCCAACTACTCTTCCTGCCTCTCGACTGCGACGGCGAAGCCTTCATCGGATTAAGAGAATCCGCCGCGTCCTTCGCCGCATTCTTAACCGTATCCTTCGTCCCCGCCGCCTCCTTCCCCAGCGCATCTACCAACCCTTTCCCCCCATTCCCCCCCTTCTTCCCCTTCCCCTCATCCCCAGGTCCCTCCGCAGCAGCGAGCATAACCCTCGTCTTAATAACATCCACCGGCGTCGTAAGCACCGCACTGACCGCCCCCGCACTCCCCGCGCTCAACGCCGTGATCCAACCCATCTCAAATATCCCACCTTTCGTCAAACCTCTATCATCCCTATACTTCTTAATCCCCTCTTTGAGCCTCTCGAACATAGGGAACTGCATCGCGGTAAAAGGGAGGTTGCGGCCTGCGAGGGCGGTGTAGCCGCGCCAGAGGGCGAGGGGGTTGGATTGGAATTTGGCTGGACGGGGAGGGGGGGTATGTTAGTTTGGTGTGTGGTGGATGGGTATGGGCGGGTTGTGTCGAATTTGCATGGCCGGTTCGTGTGGTGGATAGTGAACGGGGGGACTTACCCAGCGTCTGTAACGTGGCATTCTGCGATTGAGAAGTCGAAGAAACCATCTGCGCGTTCTGCTTTATGACTTCTGCGGGGGTGAGGATGGCGCAGGAGACTAGTTCTGCTAAGGAAGAGGCGGAGGCGTGGACGAAGGCTATGGGGAGGATGGCTTCGTTTCTGGTATTGGTATTTAGGCGGGTGAAGAGGGATTTTGTGTGTTCGTAGGTTGTGAAGAACGCTCCTGCTGATGGGGTGGTTAGCATGTATATTTTCCGCATATCTGGTTCTCCTCTTATCTCGCGGACACTTTCTTTCCGTCCAAACGACATATCATCTTTCAACTCTTTGCTCATCAAACCTCTCCCTGACAACCATGCCATCCCCTTCTCTTTCCCCTATCCCAACAAGCTCTCTCACTCATCCCACGCATCTCTGCTCTTTTCCTCTTCTCCTCTAAAACCACGTTCAGAAACCTCTACTTACAGCTCGGCAACGTAGCAATAATCACACTCCCAATCCCCTGATACACACCACGGAACAACTTTGGATCCACCTTGCCCGTCCGCGTATCCGTGTAGAGTTTAGCATATTCTGGGCTTTGGATGCGCGTTTTTATTGTGTCGAGTGGGTAGACGAGGAGGTCTACTGTGAAGGCTGCTATTGCGCCGGCCTTTTCTCATTAGTAATGTTAAATCGGGTTCTCTTGAACAGGTTCTTCGTGTTTGGAGGTTGGGTGGGTGTGTTTGTTCGGTTCCATCTCTTTCTCGTTCTCAATTAATTGCATGGAGAAGACGCGCATGTCGGTCGCATACACGCCAGCTGCCAAAAGGCCCGCGTCCAAGCCCATTCAAAATCAACAACAACAACCAGAGATTGAAAACTCACAATCAAAATATCAGAACTAGTATTCCCCGCCATTGCAAAGAGAAAAAGACACGTCAAGCTGCAGATGTATGAAGATCAGATGTTTTCGCCAGGATTATTCTGAGCCTCGTAATCGATCTTCAGGTACATACAGGGTCCGATAAAACCACATGCATGACGTCACCGATGATCCGCCCGACACGGATTCGCAGCTAACGGCATACACGACTTCACGTGCCCGAAAACAACGAGAAGAATTCATGGTCATGAACAGTTGATGTATATAATGTGTCTAGATTATTTTGTGTACTATTTTCTTTTATCTAATCTCACAATTTCCATCCCCGTCATGCCGTACCTGCACCTGCTACGGCATTCCCTCCGCTAGCAGCAACCCACGATATCAAAGAAGAAGAAGGGGTATATAAACCTAATCCCACCCAGGATCTCATCCGTCGTACATGATCCCAAACCCACATATTTCCCCCATTCCCTAAACGCCTATAAAAACACTTTTCATAAAGACATATCCATCCCATCATAGATCGAACCTGCGATCATTTCCATTTCCATTTCCATCATAAAAACGCAAAGGAAAAAGAAGGGGATGCTACCACCACAAACACTAGAGCTTCGTATCCTGCCTATTGGAGTCGCTCAGCCTGCGGAAGGGCCCTTGCATCGTGGCACTAGGACCCGGCCTAGCACTACCCGCACGTGTAGCGTTACTCCCGGCGCTCGCACTAGCGCCTGCGCCTGCGGTACCTGGTGTTCTGGAAGTGGCGGTAGCGTTGGAGCGCTGTTGGAGTGTCGCACTGACTACCCATTGCAGGTGCATGCGCATGTTGCTGATTGCGGCGTTGACGTGCAGCATTTCGTCTTTGGAGCGTTGGCTCTCGTTGATGATCATCATGTTGGTGCGGCCGTCGAGGTCGGTGAGCGCGTTGGAGATGCGGGATACTTCTTCGCGGAGGGAGTCGTGTAGTGTGAGGAGGTGGTGGACTTGGGAGTCGAAAGGAGGTTGGGCGGAGTTGTTGCTGTCGTTTCCGCCTGGTGGGGCTGGTGGAAATGAAGCGGGCGGGAGGCGGAAGTCTGGCGTGGGTGCTTGGGGGTCGGTGTCGTTGGGGTCCAGGGGATCGGTAACAGGGAAGGAGGCGTCGTTTCCGTTGGCTGGATACAGGTAGTTTGTGATGTTGGTGAGACCGTCTTCGAGGATGCCGACTTTCCTGGTCAGGGGCTCCATTCGCGCCTCGTTCCTCTCGATGCGGGCCTGCTGTTCGCGGAAATGGGGCGCCATGGTTGCCATTGCGCAGGTTGGTTCGTGGAGTACGACGTCGGCACGCTCGGCTTGGAACTTGCATCCGACGATGGTGCCCTGGCATGATATGACATGTTTCGGGCAGTCGTTGTTGATGTGAGGCTTGAGGTCTAGCCGTAGTATCTCAGCCGAGCAGAGCGTGCAGGTAGTCAAGCGGTTAGCACAGAGGCTCCGCTGGTGCTCTTCGAGATCCTTCTTGAGGAGCGAAGCGTGACAGTCCTCGCAGCTGACGGTGTAATGCAAGCAGCCCTTGTGGAAGTCCTTCTGTGATATCTGCAAACGACAGTCTGCGGCAGAGCATTCGACAGGCGTGTATTCGCAGTACAGCATGACATGGTCGTTGACGTTGACGCGCTGGGCGACCCAGTTGCAGCCTGCCTTGGTGTTTGGACACTTGACCACCAGCTCATCCAGCATCGTCTCGATAATCTTAGGCACCGGGCGAATGTCACTGTCGCTTTCAACAGCATGCCGGCACGTGGGACATGTCCTCTTATGCTGCGGCGCCCATGCGTGATCGAGACACTCGCGGCAGAAGTAGTGGTCGCAGGAGAGCTGAACGGGCTTATCGAAGGGGGCGTGGCAGATGAGGCAGGTGAGGTTGCTGTCGGGCGTGGAGACGTATTCTAGGCTGGCGAACTCGGGGGGTACTTTGACGATTCGGCTGTGACGGCGCTTCGTTGAGGGTGAGTTTGAGACGCGGACGGCCAAGGGCGAGGGGCTGCTGGGAGGGCCGCCGACGGGCATTCCACCATGCTGCTCTTCGGCCCAGCCAGTCCAGTTGGCGTTGCTGGACGAGCGCGACGAGCGTGAAGACCGGCGGTCGTTCGGGGGTGGGATGGGGCTTGGCGACGACATGCTGGGGGAGTTGGTGTGGAGGGTTGGCGGGAGTTGGCGACGGATAGATGCTTATGAAAGAGAATCGCGTTCACGCGCGTCGGGGCAGGTGCAGTCGGCGGTGAGATGCGCTGTCTCGGGTCTCCTCTTGAGCGTCGATCGAGGTGGCTGTGGGGGGTTTGTTTGTCAGATGGCCGCTCTGCCAGTCATCCACGGGGGGCTGCAGAGCGCCAGAAGCAAAGACTATGTCGGGCGGTCAGGATGGCACATTCTCCCGAAGCAGAAGGGAGCATGCCGTGGCTTGGTGGTTGCGCGACAGAGCGACATGGTGCAGCCCTGGCCGCTCCCCACCAATGAACCCCCAGCCGCCCAGCCACGGCATAGTGGGCCTGTCGTCAGCGGTCCGCTCCTGGAGTGCAGCAGCCTTGCCATCTCCACTCGCGCTTCAGCTGCAACGTCGTGTGTCTGTTTCACATCCATGGATTGCTGTACATAGTCGCATCCACTCGTAATTATCAAAGTCAATCGCGCTTTCCCTCGCACCGTTCGCGCGTACCATCTCCGGCGCATTGGGTCCCCGTACCACGCACTACACCACCGCCTGCAACCAACCCTCACCCACCACAGCCACCATGGCAACCAACCCCCCACAGCTCTTCCTCCTCGCCGACCACATCAAGCTCTCCCTACTCGAGCGCCAACGCGCCCTCTCCCTCAACCTCCCCTCCAACAGCCAAGATGGCCAGATCTCGCGCTCGCTGGAGCAATTGCGCTCCGGCATCGAGTCGCTGGAGTCGCAAGTCCAAGACACCTCGGACGAGTAGGCCCACCCGACATCTCTCTATACAGGAATATTATTTACTAATTTATCGTGAGATCAATAACATCACAACTCCCCCGCCTACGCACCCAACTCGCAGAACTTACCGCCCAATTCACACCCACCACCACCAAAGCCACCTCCAACACACCAACATCACCAACCCTAACCTCCCCCAACACCCCCTCCCTAACCTCCGACTTCGCCGTCGCGCAATCCAAAAAACCCGCTCCCACGCGCCAAACCTCAAAATCTGTCCGCTTCTCCGACGCCCCCTCCGATGAATCCGACGACCCCAATCGCTCCTCCCTATTCCCCTATCGCGACGACCCCTCAGATTCCACCCCAGACCAAACTTCTTTGGATAATGAGCAAATCCACGAATACCACAGCCGCGTAATCGCAGACCAAGACAGCCAACTCGATTCGCTCGGCGCGTCCATCGGGCGGCAGCGCGAACTCAGCATGCAGATAGGGGATGAGCTGGACGGGCAGGTCATGTTGCTGGATGATGTGGAGGAAGGGGTGGATCGGCATGCGGCGCAGTTTGTGAGGGCGAGGGGCCGGTTGGATCGGTTTAGTAGGAAGGCGAGGGAGAATTGGAGTTTGACTGTTATTGTGGTGTTGATTATTATTTTGGTGTTGTTGATTGTTATTACGAAATGAGAGGGTGCGGGAGGGCGTTATGTTTGGGTTAGATGGATGGCGTTTTTGGGTGGAATTGATTGGCATGGTATACTCAGACAGAGGGTTGTCAGTCCCATGTTGCATTAAGAATGAGACATCTATCCACTTCTCACTTTTGATCATTGCTATGACTACCGCTACAGCATACATGTACCCTCACCAACACATAGCACCTACTTCAGAAGCTCTGTCATCCCCAAACCGAGACCAAGCTGCGTTCCCCGCAACCACTCACGCACGCCCAAACGCCACGCCATGATGCAAAAGAAGAAAAGATAGAAAAAGGCTAGTAGTGATGCTTATAAAGCTCGAAGGGTATCGCTGTATTTTGATATGCAAAGGGACAAGAACTTTTTCGCAGTCTTGTGGTTTGGTGTGGGAATCTTCTTCCATCCCATGGTTTGAACATTGTGGTGGCGCTTCTTGCCTCACGGCAAGCCGATCGCTTTTTTCGACTTGTCGTATACGACGTATGTGATTGAGACGGCAGGAACGACCTTGAGCAGGTTCGGCGTGAGACCCTTGAATAGTCCTCTAACACCCTCACCCGCGATAGTTTGTCTCGTGACATCCATAATGCCCGTGTACGTCCGCGGATGCAGAACAGTACCTTGACTCTGCAGTCGTGTTCGCAGGAGGTTGAGCGGGTAAACAGCACTTGCACCGAACGCGCCGGAGAAACCACCAATAGCTGCTGTCATGAAGCCACCTGGCTCGGCGTCTTGTTCGTGGCATCCGAGTCGCTTCGCGTTGCGACGCGCGACGTAGCGTTTGAGGTACTCGAATGTACCTAGATCGAGGGC